TGCTCTCTTGTGGTTCTAGGGGTCAGAAGTCCATGGTCAGCTTCCCGGGTGAAAGGCCACAGCAGTGTGGGCAGGACAGTTCCCTCTGGAAGCCGCAGCCGTTTCCTGTCTGTTCCAGCTTTAGGGCCTTGTGCTGCCAGCCCCGTCCCCTCCTCTCCTTCCTTCCCCCCTCTGCTTTCTCCTTTGACCCCCAGGGCTCCTTCTAAGGACCCTGGGGATTAAATTGGATCCGCCTGGACAGTCCCAGCTAATCTCCCCATGGCAAAAGCCTTAACCGCACTCCAAAATTCTCTGTTGCCATATGTAGGCCTAGTAACAGATTCCAGGGAGTAGGGCCTGGAAATTGTTGGGGGCCTTCATTCACCTACCACCTGCCTTTCCCCAGTTCTAGGAAATCGGCAGTGGGGGGTAGTGATGCGTGACAAGACAGCCGGAGCTGAACCCAGACTGTCCTCTGCTCCTAGTGGAGTGACCTGGCACCAGCCCTCACTCCTTTCAGCCTGCTGCCTGCAGAGGATGTTCACAGAAGATGCCCACGGCTGGCCCCGCGACGGCAGGTGTTCCCTCCATGATTTTTCAGACTCGTTGTCCCTGGGGACCACTAGCGGGCTCTTGCCTCGCAACCTTTGTTTTGTGGTTCCCTCTGCTGGGGCCGTGCTCCCCACAGCCACGGGTTCCCTCCGGCGCCGATTCCGTATCATTGTGCCGGTGTCCCGAACAGTGTGCTTTCACTTCCTCCCGTTTCCCCTGCAGCCCACCCAGCTCCGCCGATTTCTTCCTGTGTACACCGACTACTTGTAGGACTTTCCCTACAAGCCGGTTGTCTGGGAGCTCATGAGGCAGGGCCGCCATCTGCTTGGGTCATCCCTCTGTTCCCAGCTGAATATTTTGTTGAGTGGATGAATAAGTACCTGTTCCTCAAAACTTCTGGCTGTAATGCAAACCCCAGCGAGGCAGACCCCAGCGCCCTTCCCCTCTGACGGATGGCACAGCCAAGGCTGAGGGAGGTGAGAATTCGCTTCTCTGGGTAACCATTAATAGCAGAGTAGCCTGGTCCAGAGTCCACTCTGGGAAGCTTCACTTCTTGGTGGGTACGGTTGATACTCAGAAGACATCTTTGTGGTCCCTAATCCTGGAAATTCTCCCTCTGTCCTTTACTTTTGGTGCAAAGATATTTATTGGGGGATATATGCAACCCCAATTTATTGTAGCACCAGTTACAAAATCCTCGATGGGGGACAACGAAGTGCCCCTCAACTGGTGAATAGACAAAGCAGGTGTGGGATCTGTACACAATGGAGTACTATGCAGCTATCAAAAAGATGAAACCTTGCCCTCTACAACAACATGGCTGGACCTCCAGGGAATCATGCCTAGTGAAATAAGCCAGACTAGTGACATAAAACATAAATAAAACTTCTGACGTTTAAGGTCAATTTGTGGTTATCAGAGAGGGAAGAAGTGGAGGTGGTTGCCTTGGAACAAGAGGTCGTGTCAGTGTGAAGGATAATGGCCAGCAGTGGGGAACTTCACACAGCAGATACTCTTGTTGATCCGACATGATGCACCTGAAGCCTGCATAATGTTATCATGCAATGTCACTTCAGTAAAAAAAAAATTAATTTGAATTTTAGAAATGCATCTTGGGGAAGAGGAACCAAACAAAGCAGGTCATTGTCCAGAAAGGCCGGCAGCACAAGACAAAAGCAGTGTCCAAAAGCGCCCCATTCACGAGGGCCTGGCCAGCTGCCCAGTGCCCAGCAGCAGCAAGTAGCCTGCAGCCTCCCCACCAGGCCCCCAGCCCCGGCCCCCTAACCTGGCTGAGTGCAGGGGACAACACTTCTGGCCAGGGAAGGTCAGCTGTGCCATCTCGCTTCAATGTCCTCCTCAGGCCTCGGTGGCAGGGCTTAGGGCCAGTCCTTCAACAGAGATTCTGCCCTGTCCAGTCTCGGCTCACCACACCTGAATGAAAGGCAGGGTTTTGTCCCCTGGTGGATGAAATAGCTCTAAACGTGGTGCTGGGGGCACCCCCTGCTAAGCTGTGAGACCTGTGGTGAGTTGCTCACCCTCTCTGTGCCTGGGTGTGTTTAATGACCCCGTGGCCAGGTGGGGATAATCGCACTGCACAGGGCAGAATAAAACTAGCTAACCCGTGTCGGGCACTTAGTCCGACAGTGGCCAAGAAACAGAAGCAGAGATTTCTGTTGCTGCCCAGCCGGGGCTGGGGCCGGGGCCAGGAGGCCAGGTGGTGGACAGGGCCTGTGCCCAGCCTGGCCTGCCAGCATGGGAGCCCATTGGGGGCTGGCTCCCAGAGCCTGGACAAGGGTCAAGGTGTCAGACTCGCTTTGAGTTGACCGTGACCAGACTCTGGCTGCGGTCCTGCCTCCAGGAGCCCTGGACTGTCCTGACAGGGAAACAGGCAGAGATGTTACTTTACCCAAGAAACGCTGACTGTGGCTGACCTCCCTTGGGACTGGGTCCCCAGTGCCCGGCATCTAAGGCAGGTCCATGCTGCAAGAGAGGCTTGACTGGCAGCACTTGGAGCCCTTTGCCCCGTGTCTGGCTTGGCACGTAGAGCAGACACTATGTCGCGCTTTCAAAGTGCAGAGGCTGGTGCTTTGGTTGCCTCTTGTGCTTTGGGTCCAGAGCACCCCGCGAATGTGGTTGCCTTAATTTCGCCGACACCTAAATGCATTAGCAAGGGGCCTGGGCTGTTGGGCCTTGTCGAGTCCACCCGTGTCTTGCGTTGGGGGTCTGGAAGCAGCCTCTGGCCTCTGGAGATGACCTGTCGCCCTTCTCTGTGCAGGCTGAGACCTTCCCACGAAATCCCGCCACCTCCTCCTACCCCCAAACTCTGCCCAAGGAAGGCCCACATCCGCCTCAAAGCCCTGCAGAGCTGCTTCTGTACCCCCCTCTCTCCGCCCACCCCCCTCTTCAGATTCAGTGTCGCTCCTCGTGGGCCCAGCACCCCTGCCCTGTCCCCCTGTCCGGCTGCGTCGTCGTTCAAGGTGCAGGTTTACAGTCGACTGACCTCCCTGCCTGGTCCTGGCCGTGTGACCCTGGACAGTGACTTTACCTTCCAGTGACTGTCAGAGGGTCACGCAGGGGCTGGTCCCGCCACACCTGCGCAGGTCACATTCTGTGTTCTCGCCCGTCCTGACATCCTGCTTGAACCTCCGTTCACTCCCCTGTGTGTCCCCCTAAGCCCTTGTAGTAAAGACCCAGGAAGTGCTGGACTCAAACCCTCTAAATTTTCCTTTTTTCTTTTTTAAAGATTTATTTATTTATGCATACAGAACTGGGGTACAGGCCACAAGTGCGGGGGTGGTGAGAGGCTTCACCAGAGACAGAGCAGGGAACAGAACAGGCAGACTGGTGAAGTACACTGCTGAGGGGAGCAGCGGGCGGGTCAGGAGAGGTCTGCCGCGCCATGTGGTCACCTCCGGGGCAGGCGGGGATCCAACTCATGCGGAAGCGGCTCTAGCTTCTCAGTGCTGCGCTTTAACCTGCTGCGCCACCAGGGAGGGCCTATAAATTTTACTTTTAAAGGAAGACACACCTGTCACCCCTCCTGCTTTGGCGGGAGGCCCCTGCAAGGGGGAACGGTGCCCTGACCATCCCGGCCAGGACGTGGCCTTCAGGGCCCGGCCCTGAGAGCTGGTGTGGCAAGGACAGACAGGCCGTGACCAAGTCAGCGGGACTTGGGACTTGGCAGTGCTTGCTGCTGTGTGACCCAGGGCAAATTACTTAACCTCTCTGAAACTCAGGCGCAGTGGGGCTCATCACGCCCCAAAGGGTGGCTGCGGGCTGGATGCCGTGTCTCAGTGGCCGCGGCCTTCCTGCCGCCCCCGCTGGTGTTCTGACTGCTCTGTCCGTATCCTGCCTGGCGGAGTTGTTCACGTCCCTCCTCTTCCTCTGCCCTCGCTCGCCCTGACTCAGCCCGCCCTCCCCGCCTCGCCTCGCTCTCATGACTCACTGGCACAGGGCTTTTCATTTCTCCTGGGTGCACGCTACCAGAACCTGTTCTGAGAGGACAGGAACCTGATGCCTTTGACCTCCGTCCCCCGGAGATGACCTGAAACTCCCTCCACAGCAGCCTGGTGGCTCATAGCCTGTCTCCGGCCCCCACCCACCCCCACTCATGGGACTGGAACTCGGTGACAAGAGTGACTGTGGACAGAAACTTGGCCGAGAGGCCCTGCTGAATCCCTCCTTTGTGATGGAATGTAGTGCAGCCTGGCTCCCTGCAAGGGAGGCCGGGGATCCCTTTCCCAATTATGCAGCTTGGCAGGAGGAGGCTGGGGTGCAGGGAGAATGGTCAAGGAGCCTCTTTGTGGGGGGCCAGCCTGGCTAGCAGACACCTCCTCCCGCCGGAGCTCCGCCAGTGAGGCCCTGAGCCCGGCGTTTCCGGAGCCGAGCTGTGCCAGCAGGCCCGCGGGCAGAGCTTCGTGGCCGTGTGAGGGGCGGGGTCAGATTGCCGGCTTCTGGCCTGGTGCCACGGGATTTGGGGGCCTCGGTGGGTAAGAGGCAAGGGGAGGCCTGACCACAGCACTTGGAACCCTTCGCTCCGTGTGGGCCAGAGCAGCGCCACTTTCTGTCTTTACTTGAGTCGTGTCTCAGCAGTAGGTCCTCAGACTGCAGGCCAGGCGTGGGCTGGAATGACCACCCCACTCGGGTCTCGGCAAGACGGAACATTCTGGTGTCCGGAGCTCTGACTACCCTGAGCACGCCCTTCCCCTGATGCTCCCCTCACTGCAGGGAAATCCCTCGTGGCTCTGCTGGGTCAGGATGGGCACGGGACTCACGCAGAGGAGCGAGACGCAGGAGCGAGACGCAGGACGCCCCTTGGCCTCTTTTGGGCCAACTTTCTTTGCACATTCCTACCCCAGGGCCTCCCCTCCCCTCCAGAAAAGCAAAGGAAATGCATGCCCCTACCCCCACGAACACCTCAAAGGGTCATACTCAGAGCTTACCTAACCTCTCTGGTTTTTCACAGCTGGGTCCTGAATGCAAGATGTTGGCATGAAGAATCGTCACAGCTTCCCGGAGCCTCCCCAGCTAACAACAGGTTGGTACCACTCCTAGCTACTAACATTTTTTCTCAAAAAGCCAGCGGTACGGTCATTCACTTATCCCTTCAGGCCCCCTAGAACATGAGCAGAGAAGGGTCCACCTCTGGGGTCCAGAGGTGAGTCTGGTCAGGCTGGGATGCCAGGCTGCCTGTCAGGCCTGCTCTGAGTTAGGGACATCCAGGAGTCACATGATCCAAATCCTCTATGCATAAAATTAGCTTCTTTCCATCTTTTTGGAAGGGAAAGAACACCATACTAAATATAACGTGGGTCAACAAGCCAGGGGGAGATGAATGGCCACCGCTGGACCCCAGGGAGCTGGTCCCAACCCCAGCTGACCATCGACACTTGGTCTCCATGGGGAGGGTGGTGTTGGTGGAGAATCGAAGCAACGGATGGACACTTCACCTTGCATGAACCCCCAAACTAAAGCCTTCATTTTTCAGCTTTATTTGAAAAACAACACATTAACCCTTCTGAGGCTTCGAGGCTTCTAATTCCTTCTCCCCATTTAGAAAATGAAACTAAATATCACTCTAACCCCTGTACACTAAGAAAACTATAAACATCTTAGCATACACAGCTTGAGTGTTTTGAAATTGAAGTGTGTTCTCCCTTTTTTCTCATTAACATCCTTTAAGGAGCACTTTTTTTTTTTAAAGATTTATTTATTTATTCATACAGAACTGGGGTACAGGCCAGAGATGCGGAGGGTGAGAGGATTCACCAGAGACAGAGTGGGGTACAGAACAGGCAGATCGATGAAGTACACTGCTGAGGGGAGCAGCGGGCGGGTCAGGAGAGGTCTGCCTCGCCATGTTGATCTCCTCCGGGGCAGGCGGGAATCGAACTCATGAGGAAGTGGCTTAAGCTTCTTAGTGCTGCGCTTTAACCCGCTGCGCCACCAGGGAGGGCCTAAGGAGCACTTTTGACATTCTTTTCACAGGGCTCCCCACCCCACACAATTTTAACACTACAGATATAGCATATACTGTACTGTGTAAACTGATATCTCTATACTGTGGAAAGATACAGACATTGTAATAGCTGAGATTTTTTTTTCACACCATCCCAAAGAACCAATTTTTGCTCCATTTGAGTGATCTCTCTCCAGTGAGAATGCTTTAAAAATATTTACTAACAAACCTTTCTGTAAGAACTCACTGTATGGCCCGTCACATACTGCTCAAACGCTTCATATATGTTCATCCTCTTACTTGTCACAAGTCCCCTAGCAAGTGATGGCTAGAAAGCCCAATCTTCATTTCACAGCTGCAGGGCCTCAGACACAGAGAGGTTAAGTAACTTGCCCAAGGTCACACAGCCAGGAAAATACAGAACAGGACCCAGCTGCTTGGCTGCAAGGTTTGCACGTAATCTCTGAACCATGTTGCCTTGCAACAACACATTTTGACATCAAAACATTCAAAATACGGGAAGAGTAAAAGGCACACTTCTCAAGTACAACTTGTCCCATCTTCGGAAGCAATTATTGGTTCAAGTTTCGAAGGTACTAATCATCTAGAAATGTTATATATGTGTTTGTGTATATGAACATCCAGTGTCTCTAATTTTAACACAAGCAGGATCGTCCAATCTCTTCCCTTCTATATTCCTAACAGACATATCTATGTGTAGAATTGTATTACAATTAGAATCACACTCAACCTGTTCTTTTAACCTTGCTGTTTGACTTTAAAGTGTCATTAGCTGCCTTGACCATATTTTTCCAAGTGTGTGGACCATGTTTTTTTAACCAGACCCAGAGGACTGGTTACAGAAGTGACTTCTAGTTTCTCACTCATATAGAGCTATAATGGATAATCTTACCTTGCACCTAATTTCTCTTTGCATAGAGAACTGCAGAACCAAAAGGTATAAAATGTTTAAAACTTCTGACCCACAAATGCCAAAACCTACCGTCCATAAGAATTGTGTGTCATGCCCATCCCAACACCCTCACTCACCAGGCCACTATCACCCACCTGCTTTTGATCCTTGACGAGAGAACAGGCCAAAAATGTATTCATGGAGACATTTTCATCCTGCCTATAATTCTTACCTGGACTCTGTTTCACTCACTCAACAATGGGAAGCTGAGCTTGAACTGAGAATTAACAAGGGCAGAGCGGGAGGGCAAGCCAGTGGCTGGGTCACTGCTTTAAAAAGCATCCTGGGCCCTCCCTGGTGGTGCAACAGGTTAAAGCGCAGCACTGTGAAGCTGTCCACAGCCACTGCAGCGGGAGTTCCATCCCTGGCCAGAAAAGTGACCCGCATGGCCCAGCAGGCCTCTCCTGCCTCACCTGCTGCTCCTCTCAACAGTGTATTTCAGTCCATCTGCCTGTTCTGCTCCCCGCTCTGTCTCTGGGGAATCCTCCCACACCCCGCGCCTGTCTATGCCCCAGTTCTTGTATACATAAAAATAAAAAGCATCCCATCAGCCTCCCATGTCCGCAACCCTCCTGACAGGCCCTTGATGGCGGGGGTGGGGGTGGGAGGGAAGGGAAGGGGGGCCCTCCCTCTCCTGCTTCCACTCTGAGCCAGGTCTGGACCCACATGCAGAACCAACCCCTTGCCCTCCCCTTCACTGGCCTAAAGTGACAGCGTGAGAAACGTACACTGTGGGTCCTGAGACTTCCTAGCTGTTCCCACACACATGCATGGACACATGATGACATGGCACTTCCCCCCCCACCCCCGGCCACCTGCTCCCACAGCCCTGTACTTTCTCCCCACTTTACCAATATTCCCTGTGGGCAATTTTCTTGCTGGCAGCCCCCCTAATCCTAACTCGCTCACCACTGTCTCTCCCGGGCCCTATTTGCTGCTTTGCTGATGCACAAGAATTGTTTGTTGAGTTAAAAAAAGAAGGAACTGACTTCAAGCCGGTAAAGGATGTGATCCCAAATATTTTTAGAGTATTTTCTAACAAAGTAGACAGTTTCCAATGCAGCCCATTGTTTGATGAGAAAATATCTCTGCAGCATCAAATTTCAAGAGGCCTGGTTCGCTGTTCTTTTGGAAAGATCAGCAAGAACGCCAAATCGAAAGCAGGGCCTTGCCCATCTAAACATCTGGAAAGTTTCGCAATTTTGCAAAGGCTGCTGTTGCTGGAGTAACCTACAGAGCAGAAGCAGCAAGGCTCCTTGCTCGCTCTCCCTCCGGGCCTCGCTCCAAGTGGCCTAAGCTAAGCCCCTGGGGGTGACTAGCTTGTCTGCTTCACTCTCCCTCCAGCAAGCAGCTGTGTGCCCAGGCAGCAGCTCCTGTCGCCTGAGGTTGCTGAGCTGCTTCCTGGGACCTGGGTTTTTGGTCCAGCTGGGGACAGCTGCTAAGAGGAGGTATGTGCAGGTTCTGCCACTTAAGAAAAGGACACTCCATGTGGCTGCGGAAAGCCTCTTCTGCAGGGCCCACTTCAGTCCAGGGGTTCCAGAGAGCTTGGGAGTCCCTACTCTGTTCCAGGCTCAGACATGAATATGCACCCGAATGAGACAGATTTTCGATAGCAGTTGCTGGGGGGGACGTGTGGAGGGGAGGGCTGTGGGAGGACAAGAAGGGCTGGATGTCCGAGTGGGGTGATGCGGGCTGCAGAAACGCTGGCGGTGTGTGCAAGCAGGGCCAGAGAGAGTGGGAGGCGCAGGCCAGGGCAGGCTGGGTTTCTGCTGCAGGAAACGGGGCCACGGAGAGAGGTGAGCAGACCGCCAGGGGCTGTCTGGACGGGGACTGTCACTGATGGATGCCACTGGCCCAGGCATCTCTGTGGCAGCTGAGGACCCGGTTCCCGCCACCATCATGCTCACACGGACCCAGAGAGAGCTGAGACGTCCGCGCGTTCTCAAACTCCCAACTGCTTTGCGGTCCCAGAGCTCTGCCGGTTTGGCCTCCTGCAGGGAAGGGTCTGGCTTTCCCTTTTCGGGTGGGGTGGGCAGATCTGTGACCTCCTACATCTCACAGAGCCGCGCCCGCACGTAAGACATCTAGAATGCAGCAGAGGCGAGCCCGGCCGGGCCTCAGCTTCCGCGAGAACGCAGCGCGGTGCCCACAGGGCATCCTGGGTCAGAACTGAGTTTCCGTCTCCTCTCTGCTCTCCCTCCAGACCTCGCGGCCGCAGCCGTTGCCCCAGGATGCCTCACGTCTGCCTGAAGCCAGCCCTGGAGAACCAGCTGCTGGTGCTAGGGGTTTTGTTTCGTGCCTTGAAGGACTTGCTGCTGGTGCTCCTGCTTTTTATTTATTTATTTATTTAAATCGAGCCGGCCGTACCCTGTCCCTGCCACCATGGCGCAGTCCAAGGCCAACGGCTCCCACTACGCGCTGACAGCCATCGGCCTGGGGATGCTGGTCCTCGGGGTCATCATGGCCATGTGGAACCTGGTGCCGGGGTTCAGCACCACGGAAAAGCCCACCGCTCAAGGGAACAAGACTGAGATCGGCAGCGGCATTCTCAAGAGCAAGACCTTCTCCGTGGCCTACGTCCTGGTGGGGGCCGGGGTCATGCTGCTGCTGCTGTCCATCTGCCTGAGCATCCGCGACAAGAGGAAGCAGCGGCAGGGCGAGGAGCTGGCGCACATCCAGCGGCAGGCCGGGGCCGAGCCGCACACGCAGGAGGAAGACAGGTGAGCCGCGGCGCCAGCCTGGGATGGACGCGAGCCCGCCGGCAGTGGCGCGCATGCGCACGCACGCACCTGCCCGCAGGAAAACCTCTAGGAGGTTTTCCCTTCCCACTGCTCCCAGTAAGGCTCTGTAAGCAGTTTATATGCTCGCGCGTAACTTTACACCTCTATCGCCGTCCCCCCAGAAAATGGGTAAGTGGGATAACAGGTGTACCAAGATTTTGACACCCCCAGGGAGGTGGCACAGACATAGGGGCGCCAGAGCCCACAGGCTGGCTGCCTGCCCGTCCACCCTCTGGCTGTGCGTATGTGCTTTGCATTGAAAAGCTTCGGGGTAGTGTTCTGTTGGACCCAAAAAGCCATGATCAAGTTTAAGAGATAAATGATAAGTTGAGGAACAGGGGATGAAGGTTGACCCCTCCCCCCCATGATAAAAGGAGCCCCTACAGATGAATATGAGGCATGAAGACACTGATAAAGAAATGGACAAAGCTGCAAGCCAGCATTGGGGTGCTGGAGCAGTAGATGCCCAGCCTCGGTAGTCACGAGGCTGCAAAGGGGAGAGGCTGGTATTCCTCGCCTGTCACATTGGCCCAGGCAGCCCGGGGCTGAGAGCTGGCGGGCACTCGTTGCTGGCGGCGGGTTGGTGGGCCGTGGCTTCTGTTCCCAGGAGCTCGTCCTTGGGAGACGGGCACCTAAGTGCGAAGGCGTCACGCCAATGTGTCTAGCATTCTCAGTAAAGCAAAGGCTGAGAAACAAGCTACATATCGCAGAGCTAAATGACAACAGGCCAGCTCGTGGCTGCTCCGAGCCCTTGTTGAGCTCCATTTGCTAGTGTGCAAGCCTAGCTGAGAAAGGCGTTTATAACGCAGAGCCCGTGGGAGAGCCCGGTGGCACTGCAGGCCGTGGCTGTGGGTTAGGGGTGTCCGTAGCGTGCACGCAGACTTAGCAATGATTATCTCCAGGAGGAAAGGCTTTGGGTGCTTTTATTTTCCTCATTCACTCTTCCTGTGTTGTTTGAACTTTCTACGTGGCTTATCTTTACAGCAGGGAGGGAGTTATTTTTACTTGGGAAAAGTTAAACCCATTCTAGAAAACTCAGGAAATACAGAGGAGGGCAGGGAAGGACGATCAGCCGCCATCGTCACCCAGCGTCGCCGGGAACACACTCGCCTTCCCTGGACAGCCAGGATCCGCGATGGGCCACACCGCTTCTAGAAAACGGGCCAGACTTCCCACTTGTCCTCAGCGCTGGGAAGTGGGCTTTCTCTTTGACAGTCAGCGGAGGGAGGCCAGCCCCTGGCTGCCCTTTGGGTCTTCCTGAGACTCTGGGTGATTCAATGCGTCATTCAGCATGTCTGTGCATTTCACACGTCAGATAGTCCTTCTCTAGCCCACACACCTTTCGCTTCACCCTAGCAGTTATCCCATGAACTTGTCTGTTGCCTTTAGCCAAAGACCCAGCTGGGCGGGCAACAGCCCACCCTCGTGGAGGCGGGTGGGGCTGAGAAGCAAGGGGCAGCAGCTAGATTAGGGTGCCCCCAAGGGGAGCAGGACAGTCCCGCCTGACCTCCTACTTCCTAGGGATAAGCAAGTCGCTTAACCTCCGTGACTCTTAACCTCCTGTCTCGGTTCATCCCTAATCCAGCTCCTCCGGCATCCTGGCGGGAGGATGAATTGGTTTGTGTGTGGAACTTCCTTAGAAAGTTGCCGGAGGCTCCAACCCGTGCTTAAGTGTTGGCTTTTCTTCTAGCTGGGTTCCAGGGCCGGCATCCGGTCCCGCGGGCTAACTCACTGTCTGTGCTTGCCTGCAGCCAGGAAGAGGCGGAAGCGGTCTCCTCACGGTACTACGTCCCCAGCTACGAGGAGGTGATGAACACTAACTACTCGGGGGCGGAGGCCAGGGACCGGGACCCGAACCCCAGGATGAGCATCTCGCTCCCGTCCTACGAGTCCTTGACGGGGCTGGACGAGAGCACCCCCACGGCCCCCGCAGCCGCGGATCCCAGCCGGGGCAGCGCGCCCGACAGGCAGAACTCCAAGCTGGCCAAGCGCCTGAAGCCGCTCAAAGTGCGCAGGATTAAGTCCGAAAAGCTGCACCTCAAAGACTTTCGGATCAACCTCCCGGACAAAAACGCCCCCCCGCCCTCCATAGAGCCTCTGACTCCCCCGCCACAGTACGAGGAGGCCCAGGACAGAGCCCCCGACTCGCGGCCCCCGGACTGAACCCCCGCCGCCCGCACCTTCCCTCCCGCCGCTCACGCTCCGCACCAACAGGCCCCCCACGAAGCCACTTCAGCCACAGCTGAGCCGAGGAAGAACCGTGCACACTGGCATGGGTGGGGCCGAGGCAGGCGGCTGGGCGGAGCCTCTTGTGTCTGCAGACCTCCAGCTGGAGAGAAGCCCAGGGGCCGTGGGACTGTGGCCCTTCGGGTGCAGAGCAGCGATTTGCCCCTTGCCCTTCCTCAACTCCCAGTGGCGCCCCGGCCTCCCTCCAGCCGGGATGGGGTCCTCAGCAAAGGGTCAAGCCAGTGGACGGCTGTGCTTGTCTTGCTTTATCCCTGCCGCCCCCGGCGGTGGGCAGTGACCGGCTCTGTGGGAGGCTCCGGCCACAGTGTGGATGAAGGGAGACAGGAGTGGACAGTAGGTGAGGCCAGTGGCTCTTTGAAAGGCCAAGGCTCACAATGGCCAGTTAGTTGGGTCCAGGGGTCCATGTTGCTAGTCTCTCCCGCGTCACGGTGGAAAAGGAAAGCTGTGTGAGACACTCTGTACCTTCTCAAAGGCCGTGCAGCTGAGCTTTTGATAATAAAATATTTTCTATGTCCTGTACGTGGGTCCTGAGTTGGTTGGCCGCTCTTGCAGCATGGCCTGACTTAGGGGGAATGGTCAGCAGGAATGGCATGATGTGTCCAGAGCACACAGTTGTGCCAGGCACTGCGCTAGGCACTTCGGGGCATCACCCCATCCGTCGGTGCCCGTGGCTGGAAGCTGGGCTTACAAAGCGCCCCATGTCTGCCACACCACGGGTAAGTGGCAGAGCTGGGATTTGAACCCAGGCTGCTGGTTCCAGGGCCTGAGTTCTTCAACACGGCTGTGCCACTCAAGGTGGCGGCAACTGGGGTTCATGTTCCCATCCGCACTTGTGCCCAAGAGGAAGTCCTGGTGGGATGGAGGGCAGCACTCGGCAAGAGAAAGGGGCAGTCTGGGTTGGAGGGTGGAGGGAAGCGGGAGACAGACCTGGGCCCAGACTGTCCCTTCCTGCCTGGGCCCGCGGATGCAGCCTGCCTGAGTCTGCCTGGCCAGGAACGTGGCTGGAGCGTCAACTAGGGCCCCAGATGTTTCCTGAAAAGCTCCCCTGGGAGGAGAGGGCAGCCGCTGGGTAGGGAATCGCCCGACAGGTGCCTCACGTTCTAACCCTCCGCTTTCTCAGTGCAAATCCAGATACAGCGAGGGGAGCAGCGGCCGGCGGGGCGTGTGGGGCCGGGGCTGGCCTGGCCCCACCCGGGTTCTCCGGGCAGTTCTCTGGCCTGGGCTTCTGTTACTCTTGGTGAGGTGGGACCCATGGGAAGCCTAAAGGGGGCAGTGGGGAGAGAAGAAAGCGAATTGCAAAGTTCCAAATGTAGTAAGGTCATAACTGTTGCAGAGAAGTGACTTTCTAAAGGGGCTCTTTCAGCATTTATATTAATTAATAATATGTCAATAAAACAAAACAACAAACACGTGAATAAAAGAGCTTCCAACCTGCCCTCCTACAGCTATCTTTTTTGAGGTGTCTGCCTAGCCTAGACCTTCTAGGGGGGAAAGAGGTTGGGGCATGTAATGGAATAAATCATAGCCTCTCCCCTCCCACCAGTCCCCAAGATATCAGACTCTAATCTCTGCAGCCTGAGGATGTTGCCTTATATGGTGGTTTTGCAAATTTGACTCGGTTAAGGAGTTTGAGGTGAGAATATTGTGTGGGACTCTCCAGATGGGCCTGGATGGTGGTGCCATCCACAGAGGTACTTATAAATGAGAAGCGGGAGGGACTGTGTATCTCCTCCCTGAACACCCCCCTTCCTTGTGGGGATATGGCATGAGGACCTTATTTGTTTTGGAGGGCGGAATGATGGGGAAGAATGTGACATGACTCAGAATAAATCACGAGCAGTTAGCATGTAAGAGAGGAACATGGGTTCACCTCTGTCGGAAAGGGAGGCTGTGAGAAGCCTGCCTGGGAGTGCCAGGTGCCGGCTGGAGTCATCATGGCTTTGCTCTTAAGGGCACAGATGGGGAGGAGAATTCTTGAAGGTACCCACCTGTCCTGGGATCCTGAATGTCCGCAGGGCTGTGAACGAGCAGAAAGAATTCCCACTCACCTCAAGCTGCTAAACATGGAGCTTCCCTACGACCCAGCAATCCCACTCCTAGGTATCTATCCAAAAGACACAAAAACACTGATTG